ACGTTAACTCATAAGACATTAGACTTGAAATTAAGCCATTAAAGTCCTCTTCAATGTATCAAAACTTCAAAGTTGATAGTTACAATTTAATAATCTAACATGTCCATGGATATTTCGACTTTAAGTATATATGGAATCGTGGAGTGGACTAGTGGTACATTTTCCCTAAAATTAGATTTAAATTCATGATTGGTAGATTTGAATGTGGGTTGTTAAATGCATTGGAACCGCCCACATGGTATTTTTTGTAATTACGGATTTTGTTTTATATTTATTTTCTCCTCCAACCCGTTTTGAAGAACGTGTGACATTTATGACAAAGCTCTCCTCAAATATTTGAAAAATACCCCAGATTTGGGAAAAACTCCCCTTTTTCTCTCCTTCATCCCTATTTTGGGGAATGAGATGGGAATCTGTTGGACCAAAAATAGCCCAAAATTCTTCAAAAGTGGGAATACCAATAAAATGGGAAGCTGTTGGAGATGCTCTTAGGATATCATTTTAATGTCTTTTTCATGTCTCCAAAATTACAAAGTTGAAATGAAGAACAATTAATGACTACCTTTATCAAGTGAGATTAAGGATTATAGTTTTATACCACAATAAAAGGACACTATCCCCAAATTTTAGCTTAGGTGCTCAAAGGCTAACCTTGTTGAGCTGTCATCTCCAAATTTAATCCGAGACAGACATTTAAAAATAAAAGGAGCATGTCATGTGACGTACCAAACAAAAGACAAGTTCCTCACACCTTCTTTCGATCTCATCCCAATATAAATGTGCGTATTAAAAACAAATGCACATGCTTCAAGCTAATAAACTCACGTAGACCCTGAATTCCCTCACCATCACATACACTCATCTCCAAATAGTCAATTGAGATTCTTAGGCTATGCCCAACCCGATCCACCCATCACGTTACCAATGTGATAATGTACTCCTAACTCAAAACTTTATGATTATAAATAAAATACATGATCACATGAAGTTGTACATGATTTGTTTTTGATTTAGCTATAGGATTTTCAAGGCCCTCCTCTATTCAAGAGTGTACGCGTCTTAATTTGTATTAAAATGCGTATTCCTATTATCATGCAGAGCCTGTTTGGTGCCCTATTCGTAAACGCATCAAAAGGTGAGTGCGGAAAATTTTAGCACGTCATAAAGTAATCTCAAATCCGTGGTTTAATTTCTATATTTCTATTACAGAAATTGCAATTTCAAATATAAATCTAATGTTTACCTTATGTGCAATATCTATTGGATTTGCTTTTTATGTAAAAAGTGCATTTCTATTGCAAATCAAGTGTATGTTTAGTTTTAGTTGTAAATGGTTTACACTTTCTGATTCCACTACTTTGATGACACCACATTTATTTATTATAGAAGTAATTGCATCATTTAGTGTAGTCGAATTGACTAGAACAATCAATGAAGTTTTTCTACCAAGGGACAGTCGAATTGTATATTTCACATCATTAATATAGGTTTTTTTAATAAATACGAAACTTTATTGATTAAATTGGGGAATGCGGTGCATTTCTAATTGAGAGGCATTCTCAGACCAAATTATTATAGATGATCTGAAAAGGTCACACTGAGCAACTAAGAGCTATAGTTTTTTTTTCTCCAGCCTTGCTAGCATAAGAAAAACCACATCTCAAAAAATTAGTGGTCGTAATTGTTGGGCTCTGATACCACTTGTTATGCACGGCGGAAGTCAAAACTAAACCGATGTGTTTCGAGAGACCAAATCAAACAAACGCCGAGAGAAGGCCAAACAATGCAAAATAACGGCACAAACTCAAAGAGAGACCAAATCAAACAAACGCCGAGAGAAGGCCAAACAATGCAAAATAACGGCACAAACTCAAACAACCAATTTTAAAAACGCCGAGAGAAGGCCAAACAATGCAAAATAACGGCACAAACTCAAACAACCAATTTTAACGTGGTTCAGCAAGTTGCCTACGTCCACGGGGCAAGAAGAGGATGTGGTTTTCACTAATAGAGAAGAAGAGTACAAACTGAGATTACAAATCACACAAACTCGCCAATCAATCTCACCAACAAAGCTTTAATTCTCTCCAAAAATAACCCTAACAAATAGCTCAGAAAATACCTATTTTCTGTGCTCCAAATATCCCCTTCGCTGCTCCCCAAACCTAAAACGTGTTCATATATATATATATAGAAATCCTAAAACCAAAAGTATACTAGGAATTCTAAAACCAAATCAAAACAGATTAGGAATCGTAATAACATGTTATCAAAACAGATTAGAAATCCCAAATAATCTGTTACCAAAACAGATTAGGAATCCCAATAACCTGTTACCAAGATAAATTAGGAAGAAACTTGCTATCCAATAGTAATCAGAGCCACATCATTACTAAAGTTAGAATGGGAACTTTGACTGTACTATTTTTGCTATTTTTCATATTTTTTGGAAGTGCACTTGCCTCCTAAGGTTACACGTAGATATGTCCATGGAGAAACTAGTAAGTTTGGCATGCGCAAGAAATATTACATGCCACCATTAACAGTGATCTCATTGATTGAAAGAGGAGGTCTCTCCTAATTAACAAAATATACCTAATAACATTGGAATATAATTACAAGAACTCAATTTTATTCTACTTGTGCATGTCTATAGAAAAAGATTTTAACAGTTATGCATGCTGGTTATTAATAAATTGCAAACTTTTCTTTTTGGAAGATTTCTTCATCGAGACTTCTACGTCCTTCCGAACAAAAGTATATATAATACACCCCAATTATGTGTACTAAACCTAACTAATTATAGGTTAAGCTCTGACAATCCACCGACATCCCAGACAGAAATTACGCTGGTGCTTGTACTTAATGGAACAATAGAATCTATTAATTATTGATTAGGATGGGATAATCAAGTACACACACATCTAGTTTCTTTAAACACCATACTAAGCAACGTGCTGGCAAAATTACAGTGCAGCACGCACGTGTGACGGCACGTGCTGCCGTACTTGGTGTCCGTGCATCCGGAAGGACAGATCAACAGTCGATGCATCATTTGTTGATATTAATAAGAACAAGCAAGTACCATAAACGAGTTGAGCAAGGCACGAACAGCTTAATTAATTACAGCTGTGATTTTGATTTAATTATAGGAGGGAGAGAATGGATCATGTGAGGTGTGATGCTAAATATGCAGAGGCACGGAATTTGGTTTTGATGGGAGATTAGATGATGTGATTTGAGGTGGCCTAATGTTTCGAGTCTTGTAAGGTTGGGTTGTATCAAGAAGATATGAGTTGGATGTGCGTTGTATCTCTTTTTGTACAAGGCTTAATTGCACTTAAAAAGATAAAACAACCTGTAGTTTTCCCTACTTTGCATTCATATATACTCTCTTGTTCTTCTTGGCTGTATTTATACATCCTAAAGTTCTTAAAATTGCACTTTAATATCCTCAGTTATGCAAATATGAGAGCCTCCCCTCCCAAAATTCTCATGCTGTGCTCACATGCTAATTTTGGAAGATTTTAACTCTTAATATTTGTTACATCTATTATGAAACCTATCAAAATCCTGTTTTAAAATAGAATTGAGGTGGGTTAAAAAAAAATATACTTATGAGTGTTTTAATAGGAAATTTAATAAGAATTAACGATTAAAAAAAGCTTTAAGACTAGTATGTGAGTCTGCTTGAAAATTTCAATTTAGATTCTAGTGTTTACATAATTGAAGATATGTATTTAAATGCAAGTTTTAAAAACTTTATGATATTTAAGTGCTACCAAAAACTAATGAGAGTGGAAATGTAAGTGCAAAATAGGGGAAACTATAGGGTATTTAAGTGCAATTAAGCCTTCGTACAAGGGCAGAAGTTCATTTTTTATTTACCCGTGTTTGAATTTGAAGAGACAAAAAGGATGAAAAATCTTTTTATGGTGAGTTTGGATTCGAAAAAAGGAATTTTTATCGTCTGGTGAAATTTATTTTCTTCTTCGTGTACTTGGTCTTATCATATCATGCACTAAAGTTTAGTCACATAGAACCTTGAAATGACTTCTCTTGCCCTTATGTTGGTCATCTTTATAAACGAACTTGATCTACTTTTAGTGTTTTGGACGAGACCATTCACTTTCATTAAAAATAGATGGATTAAATGATAATCTCCTAGTTGAATTACATGTGAATTATAAAATTACTTTTTAAAGTATCAATTCGTTTATTTTTCTTTTAAACTATGTGTATATATATGCTCAATGCGATCATTTTGTGCGCATAAAGTCAGTTTTTTGACAAATTAATGATGTGATAGTGTTTTTTTTTTGCATTTTTTGTATTCTTTTGACAATCTTAAAAATGAGTTTTTAATTCATAAAAAGAGTTAAAGGGTGTCTTGGGTAAAAGCAATTAAAAATATTTTATAGCTTGGCAAAAACGAGATAAACTGCTAAAAACCCATAAAGTAAAAGGAAAGAACTCTATTGCGTCATTAGTCTATTAAACAGTTGGTTGTAGACTCATGAAATAATCACATTAAAATCAAAACATAGTCGAGAGTTCCCTAATAATTTTCGGGGAAATAGATGGAGCTATCCCTAAATGATGCTTCTATCCATTAATTAAGAAAAATTCCTTAAATTGTAATCAGGTTACGGACTATTGAAAGAAAGCCGTAGGCAATTGGGTTGACTATGGGCACTATTGCAAGTTCTTTTATCTATGGACTCAAACATCAAAGCTTTAACGTGGATAGCTTTGTTGCGGTACGCAGCCCAACGGGCCAAATTGAGTATCCAGCAACAAGTTGTGAGAGAAATGCAAAAGGCCGGTTTGTTTTAATTGCGGCCCTATCTACCTCTTGTTTGCATTATTAGAGAAGGCCTTCGAATCTGTCCTGATTCTATAAACAATATATTTAGTATTAGGCCCAAAATATCAGTTCGCCACTATTTTATTTGGTCCTATTGACACTGCGACCCCTCAGATTTTTGAAAATAAATAAAAATATAAAAGGGCCAAATCCGAACTGTTTACCTAAAGTTGCAAAATATGGATTCCACAGGGGTCTATGCGAAATTAACCCTGATATAAAATGGGTATTTGATTTCCCTATCAAATCCATTTCCCTCTCATTTATCCTTCAAATGTTTGCTAATCTCAATTCCCCAACCAAAACCCCTCTCCAAAATGCACCTCTCCCCTTTCAAACGCAAGTCTACTATCGCCACCACTGTCCTCCAAACAAAGGAAATCACCCTGCTTTCCCGCCAAGGCAAACTCAATGATGCCCTCAACCTGTTTGATCAAATGCCCAACAAAAACCAAGTCACATGGAACGCAACCCTCTCTGCTCTCCTCGCAGCTGGCCAGTTCACCCATGCCCTCAAACTGTTCGACGAAATGCCAAAGAAAAACGCAACGTCATATTCAACAATGATCGCTGGCCTCTCTCGCTCTGGCGCTGTCTTTAAAGCCCGTGAAATTTTCGACTCTGTGCCTATTTCAAAACGCAACGTGTTCTCTTGGACCGCAATGATGTGTTGTTATGTGCAAAATGCGCACCCGATGCCTGCTCTGAATCTATTTAGGCATCAATTTGGGAAGTCAGGGATCTGGCCTAATGCGCATACTTTCAGTGTTTTGATTAAAGCTTGTGGTTTGATGCAATGTGGTTCTATAATGAGGCAGATTCATTGTTTGTCGGTGAAGCTGTTGGATTTGCAGAGAAATGATGTGATATTTGTTGAGAATGGTTTGATCAATGTTTATGCGAAGTTGGGAGATTTGGGTGATGCTGAGAGGGTATTTAGCTGCATGAAGGATAAGGATTTGGCGACGATGAATACGATGATGGATGCTTATGCATTTCATTTGGTGATTGATAAAGCTTTGGACATCTTTTATAGTATTGAAAAGAAGGATGCACTTTCGTGGAATATTGTTATGTCAGGGTTATTGGATTGTCGAAGAGGGGAAGAAGCTCTTAAGCTTTTTCTGTGGTTAATGAGATCGGAGGTTGATTTGAAGCCAAATTCATCAACCTACACTATTGTTTTGAGTTTGTGTGCTACGTTGGCGATGATTGAATTTGGAAGACAGATTCATGCGTCTGTTGTGAAAATTGGTTTCTATGTCTCTAACATATTTGTATGCAACTCATTGATGACAATGTATGCACGCTTTGGCTTGACAAAGGAATTGGAGCAAGTGTTTGACGAAATGCTTGTAAAGGATGTGATATCGTGGAATTCAGTAATTCAGGGTCTAGGCCAAAATGGGTGTGCGAGAAAAGCTCTAGAGATTGCTGAAATAACATTGAATTCAAAAATTTACAATCATAACACATTCATTGCGATACTAACCTGCTGTAGCCATGGAGGTTTTATTGATGAAGGAATGCAGTATTTCAACTCTATGGGCCAAAAGTATGGCATTGAGCCAACCTCTGATCACTATGTTTGCATTCTTGATATGTTAGCTAGGGCAGGGAAGCTGCAAGAAGCACATGAATTCTTGCAAGAAAAGGGTTTAGAATCAAATTCTGTTGCATGGGAGACTCTTCTGAGTGCTTGTTTGGTTCATGGGAGCAGTGAGATTGGAGAGATAGCAGCAAAGAATATTCAAAACCTAGAGCCTAATAATGTTAGGAGTTACTTGACAATGGCGAATGCTTATTCAAGAACAGGGAGAGCTGAGGAATCGAGGAGAGTTCTCGATTTGATGAGGAATAAGGATTTGAGGAAGAATTCTGCGCGCAGTTGGATCATTTGAACATATTTCTCGGTATGTTGTGCTTTGACTGTATTCTTACTTTTATGGGTGATGCTCATTTTTTATATTCTCTGGTTGGTGTGTGTGTATTGTGTATATATATATATGAGAAAAATGGGTATGCTTGGTACCAAGCAAAAAAAATTGTGCTTAGTAGTGAGGTGACATAATCCCCTCCACTCATTCAAATGATTGCATATCCCCATGCACTCCTCAACTCATGTGAATGTGGTCCCCCATTTGAATGAGTGGAGGGGATTGTGCCACCTCACTACCAAGCACTGCCTATGAATGCTGCTGTATTACTCGATTTTACTTTCCGAGTTAACAGTTCAATGCATTTTCGTTCATGTATATTTATTATGATGCGTGCTATTTTAAACAATAAAACAACAGTAAAATAACTTGACTAGAGTTAATAAAACATATGTTTTGTAATAGAAAAGCCTTAAGTCCAGGACATGAGTGACCTGTTGATTATTATAGAGTCGCTGATTACATCAGACATGCCTATGATTGCTGCTGTCTTGCTTGGATTTACTTTCCAATTTAAGAGTATGGTGCATATTTGTTCTTGCAAATTTTATGGTGTTCTATTTAATATAATAAGACGAAATCTAAATAACGTGATCAGAGTTAGGGATTCAACAGTCGGTTCTCAGGAATACCAAATCTATAAAGGGTAATAGAAGTAGAAGGATAGGTTGTTAAGATAGCAAAAGTAGAGATCCACAGGGATTGTCTCTGTCGCATAACATGTTCAGAATTCAGATCCTTTAAGTAGATAATGTGATTCTGTTTTATCATTGAATCGGTGATCTGTAGTGAAATATTAATATCATTATCAGCTCTACTTAGTGAATTTTGGCACCTGTACCAATCGTTGGCCACCAACCAACGTTTTATGTGGAAGCATTGCCTGCATAAGCATCACCGAAACACCCGATTAGATCTCCTCCTTGATCGTAGACCAATCAATCACCTGGTGATGTGAAATCACCATGAAGCCCGTTAGAACTAAAGAGAATAGCAATCTATTGTATAAAATTAAACAAGAGAGCGACGACACGTAAGGTTTACGTGGTTAAGCGATTGCCTATGTCCATGGTGATAGATTTGAGTCTTCTCTATATCATAGATTACAAAATACAACCTTCATTTTGTTCTTGATAGAACCCACAAGAAATTTACTCTCAATCTCATCAAAAGATTTCTCAAATCCTAGATTTTTTTGTCCTTAGATTCTCTCTACCTCTTTTGTAAAATATGCTCCTCTCCTTGCTTTCCCACAACAAACCCTAGACCTGAAAGACTATTTATTGGGCCCAAAATTGGATATATAACCTAATAGGACTTCTAACCTGAAAAGAATACCAAACAAAAGAAAACTGCCTTTAACCGGTCTAACTGACTGGTCTGACCGGCTGGTCCGACTTAGTGAATTTTGGCACCTGTACCAATCGTTGGCCACCAACCAACGTTTTATGTGGAAGCATTGCCTGCATAAGCATCACCGAAACACCCGATTAGATCTCCTCCTTGATCGTAGACCAATCAATCACCTGGTGATGTGAAATCACCATGAAGCCCGTTAGAACTAAAGAGAATAGCAATCTATTGTATAAAATTAAACAAGAGAGCGACGACACGTAAGGTTTACGTGGTTAAGCGATTGCCTATGTCCATGGTGATAGATTTGAGTCTTCTCTATATCATAGATTACAAAATACAACCTTCATTTTGTTCTTGATAGAACCCACAAGAAATTTACTCTCAATCTCATCAAAAGATTTCTCAAATCCTAGATTTTTTTGTCCTTAGATTCTCTCTACCTCTTTTGTAAAATATGCTCCTCTCCTTGCTTTCCCACAACAAACCCTAGACCTGAAAGACTATTTATTGGGCCCAAAATTGGATATATAACCTAATAGGACTTCTAACCTGAAAAGAATACCAAACAAAAGAAAACTGCCTTTAACCGGTCTAACTGACTGGTCTGACCGGCTGGTCCGGCTGGCCGTTATATGGGCAGGGCTTTTTGACCGGTCTGACCGTCTGGCCTGCCGCCCCTATGCCGTTTTTACCTCGTTTTGCCTCCTGCTTTGATTCTGATTCTTCCGATGTTCTCTCGGGCTCAAATGCAAGGCTATTTCCCAACAACAATATTTGCACTGCCTTCTATAAGCAACTATCTACTATAGGTCAATTTCACAAGCATGTAAAAATCTTCAACCCTTAGATTGCGACGCATCAAATTTCTTGTATTAATCACATATAAACACACAACTGAAGAAGCTTAACCCTACATCTGTTCTCAATTAGTAAATAGAAACATAATTTATTGAAATCTTCACTTTAAATTGAATTATATCCTGTGACTGGACCTGTTTCCTTCAAATGCCGCTCCTTGTAGATGATAGCTTCCATCTTCTTCATCAAGAGCTCAAAATCATCCTGCGTCTTCATGGGGCTTAGGCGAGTATTGTCAACAATTTCACTAAGCTACTTTCAGATATGACCAATGTTGATATTATAGTTGAGGATGAATACAAGGCGATGCTACTTCTGTGTTCGTTGCCCGAAGATGATTATGGTACGTTCGTTCTCACTATGATCAATGGAAGAACTACAGTTAGCTACAAGGAGGTGACCTCAGCTTTGGTGAACTATGAGTTGAGGAAGAGTGATGGTGAACCCTCCGAGAAGGCATCGGGAGATGCGTTAGCAGTTCGAGGCCGAGATCCAAACAATCGTCAGTTTAACCGCTCAAAGTCAAAGAATAGGAGTGCCTATAAGAGTGTTGGTAGAAATCAATGTCGGTATTGTAAAGAAGGAATCATTGCATCCAATTGTGAGAGAGCTTTGAGAGATCTAGAGCTTTGTTTTAGGGTTTGGTCTGAGAGATTTGTAACCCTATTTATTCTCTTGATTTCTAGTAGAAAGAACTCCCCCCCTCCTTGTCCCGTGGACGTAGGCAACTTGCCGAACCACGTAAATTCTTTGTTCTTGCTGTGATTGTGGTTTGCATATTGTTTGTGGTTTAGTTCGAGTTATTGTTTGTGTTGCCCTTGAAAGCTTCCGCCGCGCACAACAATTGGTATCAGAGCTAGATCGATAACATGGGAGATGCAAGCACATCAGGTTCGTCTCTAACAAAGGCGATACAGTGTCTGAGCATCAATAACACGAAGATTGATGTTCCGAAGTTCGATGGCAAGATCAATTTTGGATTGTGGAGATTGATGTTCCGAAGTTCGATGGCAAGATCAATTTTGGATTGTGGAGGTGTCAGGTGATGGATGCTTTGGATGCACAGAATTTGGAGGAGACTCTTGAGTTAAAAGAGAAACCCGCTGAGTTGGAGGATAAGGTTTGGAGAAAGATGAACAGTAGAGCTTGTGGTGTTATTAGGTCATGCTTGACGCCGGATCTTATTTATGATGTTATGAACGAGACGTCGGCGAAGAAGATGTGGGAAACACTCAATGAGAAATATCTTACGAAGAGCATTGAGAATCGGCTTCACTTGAAGAAGAGATTTTACCAGTTCAAGATGAAGAGAGGGGTTTCCATCAGGGAGCATGTCAACAATTTCACTAAGCTACTTTCAGATATGGCCAATGTTGATATTATAGTTGAGGATGAAGACAAGGCGATGCTACTTCTGTGTTCGTTGCCCGAAGATGATTATGGTACGTTCGTTCTCACTATGATCAATGGAAGAACTACAGTTAGCTACAAGGAGGTGACCTCAGCTTTGGTGAACTATGAGTTGAGGAAGAGTGATGGTGAACCCTCCGAGAAGGCATCGGGAGATGCGTTAGCAGTTCGAGGCCGAGATCCAAACCGTCGTCAGTTTAACCGCTCAAAGTCAAAGAATAGGAGTGCCTATAAGAGTGTTGGTAGAAATCAATGTCGGTATTGTAAAGAAGAAGGACGATTTTGAGCAGCATCTAAGAGAGATTTGTTGCATCCAATTGTGAGAGAGCTTTGAGAGATCTAGAGCTTTGTTTTAGGGTTTGGTCTGAGAGATTTATAACCCTATTTGTATTCTTTTGATTTCTAGTAGAAAGAACTCCCCCCCTCCTTGTCCCGTGGACGTAGGCAACTTGCCGAACCACGTAAATTCTTTGTTCTTGCTGTGATTGTGGTTTGCATATTATTTGTGGTTTAGTTCGAGTTATTGTTTGTGTTGCCCTTGAAAGCTTCCGCCGCGCACAACAAGTATATCGTCTATCAGCCCTATATTTCGAACCGCTATGACTAATTATGCCTGCTCTCCTTAGCACAACTTCACAATCTCGGTCTTCCTCCATTTCGCATTTCAACCATCCATAAGCTATATTCCATTTCAACATATATAATGTCGTTAAGTTAGATCAAAACCTAACAACTTAAATTTTTGGGTTAAATTTACCTGGAGAAGGGCCCCTGAGCTTCTTAAAGTAAGTGCAGTTTTGAGGAGCAAGTTTCTGAAGAGCGAACCTGTTTGAAGATGATATTAACTCGTCGAGTCTCCTCCATCTTTCCCCCATCTGTTTATAACCAAACTTGAACGTATTTTCTTTTGTTTGTGTTGAGAAGCTAATGTAATTGAGGGATATTGGAGGGCTTATATGTAAATGTGTGTAAGGCTATATAAGCCAAAACTATTCTATCAATAGATGAGATCCTTTTGAGCCCTAACTTTTGAATATGGTATCAGAGCCACTAAACGCTGCCGCTGCTCTCGTCCCCTCCTCCTATTGACATCCTCCCTCCGACCGGCGAAGCGTGGGGAGGAGTGGGTCGGTGTCGCCCTCTTCCCCCCCGACCGGCGACGGGTTCCTGTACCTCGACGGCTGTAGATCCTTGCCGCGGACGACGACGACTGAAGATGTCCTCCCGACGAAGCCGCTGGCGTAGATCTGGATCTCGTTGGGGGGCTGGGTCAGAGGGAAGAGGGGAGGAAGACGAGGGTTTGATGATGAGACTATTGATGGAGCTCCGTTCCTTGGGAAGGTAGATCTCGT